AAAATTTGCACACCCGTGATCTACAGAGTACACCTCCCATTTGTGTCAGCCTCCAGCTCTCAGCTCCGAGTACTTTCTGCAGGGCCTGGCCTCCCTGGAAATGTTTGGCCACCTAGCAAAATACTAAGCTTTGTCAGTAGAGGGCACTGGAGGCCATGACAGAGGTCTCCTGGAGGCTCCTGGGCACACTGCTAGTGCGGTGACACCCAGGGGCACCAAGACATTTAACTAACAACCACAGCCTGTGCTTGCCATCTGCATTATGACTGGGTGAGGTGAATTGCTAGAATTTAAAGGACACAACAGCAAATCCATAGTGTTTTACTTTAACATATTAAAAGAGAAAAAAATCTCAATGACAATAGTCCACTATTCATCTGACTGAAAGAAGGAAGAGGAAGGAGGGAGGGGAAGGGTGGAGGGAGGGAGGAGGAGAGAACAGAACATCTAAGCCAGCCATGTGCGCACTCCTATAAATCCCAGCACTCAGGAGGCTGAGGCAGGAGGATCCAGAGTTGGAGAACACCCTGGGCTGTATAGTAAGATCCATATCAAACAACAACAACACAAATCTTTTCCCCAAGTCTCCGGCTTCCTGTTAGCCAGCTTCTCCTGGCTTCAGGTCATCCAGCAAGCACACCTCTTCCCATGCAGGAAACCACAGCCACACTTTCTCCGCCAAGACCCAAATCTTCTTTTTGTTTCCAAGACAGGATTTCTCTGTGTGTAGCCCTCGCTGTTCTGGAACTCACTCTGTAGACCAGACTGGCCTCGAACACACAGAGCTGAGTGCTGGGATGCACCACTACCGCCCAGTAGTTTTTATTTTTCTAATCTAAAGTTTTCAATAGCAGTTCAATGCTACATGATATCCCACGGTTGAAATATGCCTGAAAGTAGGTGGCAGTTTTCTATTCTTTCTTTTTTTTTTTTTAAAGATGTTTTTATTTATTATGTATACAGTGTTCTGCCTGCATATATGCCTGCAGGCCAGAAGAGAGCACCAGATCTCATTATAGATGGTTGTGAGCCAGCATGTGGTTGCTGGGAATTGAACTCAGGACCTCTGGAAGAGCAGCCAGTGCTCTTAACCGCTGAGCCATCTCTCCAGGCCAGTGGCAGTTTTCTATTGGACACTTAGATCACTTCCAAGTTTTGCTGTTTATCACATCTTCACACATGCTTGAACCATCTCCAGGTACAGGTATACGGAAAAATCCCTTCAGCTCTGTACACTGTCGTGGATTCCTCAGGATATCCCATGTTAGATCTATGGTTTTGCAGTCAGTCTATTTGGGTTTTCTAGATAGGTTGGCTGGAAACACTGTTACGTTTTTCCTTATATCATTTGTACATGCTTCTGTTTTAGCGTCAACTCTGTAGTTAAACAGTGTGGTGCTGATTAGCACGAAAGATAATGGAAAGATAATGGGTCCCACTCACCCCCTTTCCTTCCACCTTCTCTTACCCCTCCCTTCCTCTGTCCCTTACTCATTTCTTTCCTTTTGGTTCTTTTTTTTTTTTTTGTAAGACATGATCTCATGTAGCCCAGGTTAGCTTCAAACTCCTGATCCTTCTGTCTCTACCTCCTAAGTGCTAAGATTACAAATGTAAGCAACTGTGCCTGGCTTGGGGCATTACTGTTATCATCATCATCATCATCATCATCATCATCATCATCATCAGAGATGGGGTCTCATTGTGTAGCTCAGGCTGGCCTAGAACCCATAGAGATCTGCCTACTTCTGTCTCTTGAGTGCTTGGATGAAATGCACGTGCTACCACACCTGGCTATGGGGCATGGCTTCTTTTATTTTGGGCTTTAATGGTATTTTGAACAGGATTATACCTAGACAGACATCTGGACCAAGTTCTCTTATGCAAGTTAGGACATTTACTGAGAACTGGACAACTGAATCTGGACTTTTACATGATTGTTCTTGGGTAAAATCAAACCTCCTCTTTTTGAGGCTCTCTTACTGGTGGAAATACTCTGCTCTCCTTTGTCTGAGAAGAATGGGTCACACTTGCATGCACACACACACACACACACACTCAATCAATCAATCAATCAATCAGTGCTGAAAAGAGAGATGCCTTGAAGCGACTGCACCCATCACTAACGGCAGAACAGATTATACAGTGCCTGGGCTACATTCACAGCACACGATGGGGAAAAGCGTCTGTAACATTTATCCAGAATCACAAAAGCCCAGTTCCAGTCCCTCCAAAGTGCTTTTCTATCCCTGAGACTGACTTAGTAAATACCCTGCAGTGATGATCAGTAGTGGCCGGAGCAGACATGTGTCCACTCAATGGACAGTTTATAATGATTTTAAATTATTTTGCAAAAAGATTCTAAGAACACAAACAAAATGAAAAAGCAATTGATAATTTTAAAAGCTTCCCTCAACTGAACATGTTATTTTTATAATTTAAAAAAAATCAAGCCGGATCTCTGTGAGTTCGAGGCCAGCCTGGGCTACAGAGCAAGTTCTAGAGCAGCCAGAGCTGTTACACAGAGAAACCCTGTCTCAAAAACAAAACAAAATAAAACAAACCTCAGCACATAGAGGGCTGGGGACAATACAGCTCAGTAGCAGAGTGCTTGCCTGGCGCCCCTGGTGCCTTGGGTTCAATCCAAAGCACCACAAGAAGAAAAAAATCAAAATATCTTATTTTCAAATTATAGTTATGAAGCAATCAAAGAACAAGCAAAATGTGTCTTACACAAGTAAAATTTAGAAAGTTGAAAAAAATTGTATCTGCCCTTACATTACAGCTGTGTGCTGTATTCAAATGCTGTATGTAGTCTTTCATTAGTCTTTTTGTTATTGTTGTTTTGTTTTTTGTTGTTGTTTTGAAACAGGGTTTCTCTATGCAGTTCTGGCTGTCCTGGAACTCACTCTGCAGACCAAGCTGGCCTCAAACTCACAGAGATCCACCTGCCTCTGCCTCCTGAGTGCTGGGCTTAGAAGCATGTGCCACCCCCCCCCCCATTCATTAGTTTTTTTTTTTTTCTTCTTCCCCATTCATTAGTCTTAGGGTTGGTTTTTCTTTCCTTTACTAAATTCATTTTGAGCTGAGCATGGTGGCATCCACCTTTAATCCCAGCACTTGGGAGGCAGAGGTACTGAATCCTGGTCTACAGAATGAGTTCTAGGCCAGCCAGACTACATAGTGAGACACTATGTCCTTAAATACAAAAGCATTGCTTTCCTCAGAATTTTATGAGGGGAATTTTTTTATTTGAAACAGGGTCTCACTATAGGAGCCCTTTCTACCCTGGAACTTGCTATGTAGACCAGGGAGAGTTTGGGGTGTTTGTTTATTTGGGGGGGGGGGGCGTTTTCAAGACAGGGTTTTCTCTGTGTAACAGCCCTAGCTATCCTGGAACTCCCTTTGTAGATCTAGCTGGCCTTGAACTCAGAGATATCCCTGCCTCTGCCTCCCAAGTGCTGGGATTAAAGCCTGGAGTCACAACTGTGAGCTGCCATGTGGGTGCTGGGAACTGAACCCAGGTCCTCTGCAAAAGCAGCCAGTGCTCTTAACCTCTAGGGCATCTCTAATTTGTTGCTAATTGAGGCATCCATGTCCAGGTGACTCACCTGCTGCTCTTTTTTAAGGAACATTTCGATGTCCATGTGAACTCGGTTCTCTTCTTCAGTTTTCATCCTCAGCTTCTGTAAAGCACCAAACACAGGCTCTCTACTCAGCAAGGCTGAGACCAGCAGTCCCCGGTGGCAGACGCAGCGGGGACCCCAGGAACGCCCAGGCTTCCCCACAGAGCTATCCATTTGTACCCCACAAACACTGCAGAACCATGGGCTGGCACCTCCTGAGACACACGAAAGGGTCCCAGAAAAGGCCATCGCAATCCTGTCATCTGAAAAACAACGCTTCACGGGTACCAGATTCTCAGCCCAGGGAAGGATGTTATAGAATTCAAGATGGCCCACACCCAGAATCCCAGCTCTCTGGAGGCTGAGGCAGGCAGATCAGCTCAAGACCAGTCCTGCAATGCAAACTGAGTCTGAGGCCAGCCTGAACTACAGAAGCCAATGCCGAAGAAGAGGAGGAGGAGGAAGAGGAAGAAGATGACCACAACAGAACAGAACAAAAACAGAAGGTTTTGGGGGGTTCAAGAGCACCACCTGGGAGGAGAGCTTTCCCAGCAGCCTCTCCAAGTCTTAGAAAGAAGCATGAGGTACAGCCATTCAAATCTCGAGTCACAAATACTTAAGACCCCATTTAGTCTTTTATGTCTGACCTCAAGGGCTGTACTGGTCATGAAGGAAACCTTTATCTTCCTCTTCCTCCTCCTTCATTGGCTGACAGTGTATCAGGAATGACAGCTCGCTGAGGCAGGAGGATGCTCAGCAGTCAAGAGCGCATACTGCTCTTGTTAGAGGGCCTAAGTTCGGTTCCCACCACTCAGGCTGGGGGGGCTCGAAACCACCTAAAACTCCAGCTCCATGGGCCCCAGTGCCTCTAGCCTTCCTGGGAACCCACATGCACACACCTACACATAATTTTAAAACATGGAGCTGGAGTTACAGGAGGTTGTAAACCTCCCAACATGAGTGCTGGGAACAGAACGCAGGTCCTCTGGAAGAAATGCATGTACTCTTCATTTGTTTTTCTGGACAGGGTGTCTCTGTATCATCCTAGTGGTCCTGGAACTCACTCTATAGACCAGGCTGGCCTTGAACTCATAGAGCATTGCCTACCTCTGCCTCTCAGGTGCTGGGATTAAAGGCATGTACCATTGCCTGACTAAGAAATGCATGTATTCTTTTTTTTCTATTTTTTTTTTTTTTTTTTTTTTTTTTGGTTTTTTGAGATAGGTCTTCTCTGTGTAGCCTTGGCACCTTTCCTGGAACTCACTCGGTATCCCAGGCTAGCCTCAAACTCACAGAGATATGCCTGCCTCTGCCTCCCGAGTGCTGGGATTAAAGGCGTGCACCACCATCACCCAGCTGAAATGCATGTATTCTTAACAGCTGATCCATCTCACTGACCCAAAATAAATCATTTTTTAAAGTGACATCCCACATGACATCATCAAGTTATCGACCTGGTTTTTTGTTTTATTTTGTTGTTTGTTGATACTGGATCGTGGACTCAGAATCTGGCACATGCTGTCACTGAGTTCCATTCCCAGATAGCCTAGTGTAGCACAGGTTACCTCAATCTCCTCCAGTAAGAGTTCCTCTGCTCTGTTACATTTCTTCTGGGTCTGGGAAATCTGCAGCTCAGTATTTCTTTTCATATAAAGATTCTCCAAGTTGGTTTTGGCCTTCATCTCTTGTAACTGGTCCTTGAGGTGAGCAATGTATTCGTTTCCATTCTGCAGAGATGAGACCGGGTTTCCGAACTAAAAATCCATTGTGCTTCTAAGTCAACAGGGAAGTGGAGCTGGCTTTCTCCCAGCACACTAAGGGAAATGTTCTCAGTCATGATACGAATGAAAATTAGTCTCAGCGCCAGGAGGCAGAGCACAAGGCTTATCACAGATTCCAGGTCAACCAGGACCACAGAGTGAGAACTTGTCTCATTAAAAAGAATAACATTGCTGGGCACGGTAGAACACACCATTAATCCCAGCACCCTGGAGTCACAGGGAGGTGGGTGTTTGTGCGTTTGAAGCCAGCCTGCTTACATGGCGAGTTCCAGACCAGCCAGAGCTACACATTAAGACCCTACCTCAAAAGAAGAACAGAAGCTGGATTTAGGAGTACATGCCTATAATCCCAGCCCCTGGGAAATGAAGGCAGGAGGATCAGGAGTTCAAGGTCATCCTTAGCTACATCTTTAGCTGCTCAAGGCCAGCCTGGACTACAGAAGATCAAATCTTAAAAAAGGGCAGAGGGGCTGGCCAGAAGGTTCAGCGGAGCACTTGCCACCAAGCCTGAGGATCTGAGTTTGATCCCTGGGACCCACATCGTAGAGGGAGAGAACTCCCTCAAATTGCCCTTTGACCTCCATACATGTGCCCCACACACACCCCATAATAAATAAATGTGAGAGAGGAAGAAAGAAAAGAGAGAAAATGAAAGCTAGCAAATCCAGACTGAGCGGGTCTCTCCAGTGTCGGTACACAGGCAATGAACAAAGCTGTGTGGAGAGATTTCGGAGAGCGTGTGAACAAACGCCACAGTCTTGTACCCTCTGTTCCTCTCTAACACGGTTTTGTTCTTGGCATGTGTTTCTGGGCCTCCCGGTGTAGTAAGTGGGAGTGGGTTTGCTTCCCATGATTAACCATCATCTTGTGTGAGTTTGTTAGTTTTTCAAGATAGTTTCTCTGTGTAGCCCTGGCTGGCCTGAAACTCACAGAGAACCTCCTGCCTCTGCCTCCTGAGTGCTGGGATTAAAGGCGTGCGGCCACCACCGCCGCCGCCGCCGCCACCCAGCATGCTTCACAATTTTAAGGTCTCAAAATTCACTGATTAAAAAGAAAATTCTTCAGTAGCAGACACTGAGCTAGGCTGTAGAGAACAGTGGAGACCTAACAAGCCCAGCAGTTGTGGAAAGATGTTGGGAGAGGAAAGAGTGTGTGTGCACTTAACTAGTGGTGTGGGATGGTGTGTGTGCACTTAACTAGTGGTGTGGGATGGTGTGTGTGCACTTAACTA